ACACACACAGAGAGAGAGAGAGACAGAGAGAGAGAGAGAGAGAGAGAGAAACTAGTGCTAATTGGAGTGATTTGTCTGGTGAGTGTGTGACAGCTGTCCTACCAGGAAAGGGCAGTCCTTGCCCCTTATTTTTAGCTGTCTGTTTTAATGTAAAGCTTTGGCTCCCCAGTTTCCTCCCATCCTTTCCTTGTTGAAGGAGACTTTAGGGAGGACAAACCCTCATTTTGAAATCTCCTGAAGATAGGATGATCCTGATTTACACGTTAAGATGTCCCTTGCGGAATCATTCGGAACTTATTTTATTTGAGGGTGAAGAATGGCAGCTGAGAGATCTTTCGTTTCTTCTTTTCTTCTAAAGCAAAAGAGTTCTTGCATGTAGAATCTAACATTTTGATGAAATTAGAGACATACATATTAATGTCACTTGTTTTTCTAAATTTCCCAGGGAATGGGTCTGAAGAACAATGTTGCTAGGATCTGTTTAACTCACGTGTCAGATGGGAGTTGCTTGAGCACTGTATTCATTACTGAATTTATTATCCAAATAGCCCCTTATGCCCGGCCCCCGCCTGCACGCACCCTGCAGAATCGCTGAGTGTCTGCCCAGCCATCGATGGCGCCACTCTGCCAGGAGCCCTGCCTTGCCTTTGGCTCATGACTGCTGATTGAAGTGTGTGGCATATGTCCCCTATATATAGAAAAGCACATATCTATACGCAGCTATGTAGCTTCAGATAGGCACACTGACACCCCCACACGTGAATCTGTGCAAAATTTTTTTCTTGACTCTTTCCTTCAACCCAGTGATTTCCTAACGATCTGTTACCCATCTAAGACAGATTGCTTTTCATGGTTCAGCGGTCCCAGCACAGACATTTATTTTAATCAATAGAGCAGTCAAAAGAAAGAATAGATTTACTTGTTTTTTTCCTTTTTTACATTTAATTGAAAATTTTCAAGTGATTACCAACTTGTGTAGATCTCAAAGTTTAGGAAGCACTCGTAGGTAAGCACGTGAGACTGGGGTAAGTGGAAAAGCTGCCCCGGTAGGAATTGGTCTGCAGAGAGGCTAGTTAGCCTTCGGTGGAGTGAAGCAAAGTGTTTCTGTGTTGAAGCCCAGCTCCCCTCCTCTCCCTCTCCCACCCTCACCACCGAGCACTCCTCATCCTCAGGGCTGTTTTAGTAGCCAGTGCCTCTCCTCTATGCTCACAGCCAGTACCTGAGCTCAGGTCTGATATTATCATTCCCTTGTGCTGTTGCACACCTGGGCTCCCTGCCTTCCCTCTTTGAACTGCTCTCTGAATTAGCTTCCTACCGGAGAATCTAACCATACCACTTCCTTGCTCAAAACCCAATTCTTACTCACCACTTCTGTGTGGCCTTAAGCTTGTCACTTTTATTTTCTGGGCTTCCATTTTCTTATCTGCAAAATGGGAACCATTAGTCCAGGCATCTAAGCAGAGCAGGCTCATCCTCTGCTGAACACTTACAACTTTTCATATAAATAATCCTGTCTATGGCAAACTCATACCTTTTCTTTAAGACTTGGTCCAAAAGCCTCCTTTCCTGGGAAGCCAACACTCTGATGCCAATACTCTTTGGGAATTAAGCATCTCCCAGTTCTGAGCTCTCAATGTTTTTTGGCCAGTGCTTGATGACAATACCAACTACTGGTGGCCCCTGGGCTGTAGGCTTCATGATGGGGTCTGCCCCATCATCCTATCCACTGCACCCCCTAGCATAGTACCGAGCACAGAGCCGATTAAGCAAGGAAGGCATGTTATCTGGAAAGTCTGGTTCATATGGCAACATCTGGAAACTGGTCTGACTGCAAGGAAACTTACAGGAAGGTTTCCCATGAAATTATTTATTTAGTAGTTTTTGGGTTTTTTTGTTTGTTTGTTTTGGCTATAGGGCGTGTGCACTAGCCATAGTGACAGAAAGTGAGAAATCATCTCCTGGGGGGATGGCCATACCACAGTCTCTTCTCCTCCAGTCTCCTCCCAGGATTTTGGGCACACACATAACATCCAATATGAGTTTTAAGCTGCCAGGTCTAGGACTCAAACCATGGTCAACCATATGAAAGTCCAACAATGTAACCATTATGTCATCTGCTGGTCCCTTCATGAATGTTTAATGATTACTATTGGGTTGGATGGCCTGGCAGATGGCATGGTGGTTAAGGGCACTGGACTCCCACATGGCCAAATGCAGTTCAAGTCCCAGACCTGGCAGCTTAACTTCTCTCTTTCTCTCTCTGTCCTTCTCTAGTCAAATTAAAAATAAACAAATAAATAAAGTTAAATAAAATAATTCTTAAAAATAAAAGATTGATGTTGGGTTGGAATTTAAAGCCCTCTTAGATTCTCTTAGATTCCTGCAGCATGTCATTAAGAGAGTGAACTTTGGGGTGGGACGAGGGAGTGATCTTGAATGGTTAAGTACTTCTGTATTCTCTTGCCCTTCTGTGATATTTTCTCATACAGCCCATTTTGCATTTTTCCAAGAGGACTATAATCTCATGGGATGCATGTCACTCTCTTTTCACAGGGGAGACACTGAAGCCTTAGAGCAGTGGCTTCTCAACCTTGTTGCATGACAGTCACTTAGGAGAGCTTTAAATGGTCCTGCAACCTTGGACCACCCAGGTGGCATGGTGGCTGAGGCAGCTGGATCCCACATGGCTAACTGTGGGTAGTTTGGGGGACATGCTGGGCCTGGGTGCTTCCATGTCCAAAATCCTGGGGGTAGAGTGGAGAAGAGATTGCTGTCACCCCTCCCATGGGTGCTTCCTTTCACGGGCAAGCCCATGTGCTCAACAGCAAGATTAAACAACAAACTCCTGCTACTTGGACCAATTACATCAGCATACTGGGCAAGCTCTGAAATATTTTTTTTCAAAACTCCTGACAGGACTCCAATCTGCAGTCAAGCTGAGAGCCCTGCTCTAGAGAATTTAGGTTCCTTGTTCACATGACCTTAAGGTGGTAGAACCAGGCTAGGGCCTGAGTCTTTGGCTTATACTAGGCCTACCTCCAGGACTCTGCTGTTGGTCGTCATGCCTTCATGCTTACTACAGAGTCATGGCCCAGTCCAGAATGCTGCTTGTTCTGATGTAAGGGGGCAGATTTTCTTGTCTATTTTTCCCTCATCTGTAAACCATGGCACTATTACAGGGGTCTTCAAAAAGATCATGTAAGATGCATATTGTGAAAAAAAAAAACAAAACAAAACTATGCACGGATTTCAAGGATTTTTTTTTTGGGGGGGAACAAAATTAACTTGTACTTTAATTCCATCTTTTCATTACCTTTTGGAAGTATCCTTATAGTTCTTCTCTTACAAACATTCTGCATGAATCCAATGAGATGAGACTATAGATGGGACATTTAAAGCAGAGGATCACACATACTCGAAAATGGAGAAATAATCCCCCACATGAAAGTAGATCTTCTTGAGCAGGTGGGTT